GGCCACTTGTGTGTATTTGGCAATTGATATATATTTGATACATGTACATGTGTGTATGTTAGTTGCTCAGTCATGTCTGACTCTTGTGAACATGGGGATTCTCCAGGCAAGAATACTGGAGTGGGTTGCCATTCCCTTCTCCAGGGGATCTTCACCACCCAGGGATCAAACCCAGGTCTATTTGGTTTATATAATTATTATTATTTTATAAACAGAATCATAATGTGCATACTGACTAAATCATTCTTTTACTAATAGATTGATTACCTTTGCTCCCTAATTCAACTCTCAAAAGTAATTTTCAAATTTGGATTATAAATAATTGTATAGTGAGAAATTTTGATAGATTGTTATTGATGAAAAATCAACTACTATTTATCAAACTCCTATTATATGTCACATACCAATCTAGGTAACTTCAACCAAAAACTCTGCGAGAAAGCTGGTTTAATTTTATTCCAGTTTCACAGGTGAGAAAATTGAGGTTCAGAGAAATTTAAATGTTGAGTTTGAATACAATTGTTTTTTACTTCAATTTTCCAGTTCTTTTTGTCATGTCAACATTGTTTTTCAAAACTGAGTAAAGAGGAAGAATCTTGAAGACCCGAAGTGTTGACTTGCATTATTTTTATTATTATATAATTTTAAAACATATACATAAGACTAGGCAAAACTCCTAGTTATTGTGACCCTCATATGACAATAAACCAAACCAAATTTATAAATCAAAGTCAAGTAAAATCAACACATTATAAATCCACAACATTAACATAATGGTCGATGTTGTTTTGCTGAAACTAAATTGTCACTGTTTCATTAAATAGTGGAAAGACAGATGTTTGTGGATTTTATTCTACTTGTCTACATGATTCCTCTGCTTTCCCATGTGATGACTCCTTTGATGCACTGCCATTAGCATTGCAGTTATTTTTTCCTTTCTGATACTTGCCTATCACTTATTTCACTAGTAATTTTATTTACTTTTTTCCCAGTGCATATTAAAGTTATGTTTATTCTATATTGTAGTGTAGTGGCTGATGACTTGATGGTAGGCAATGTTCGTTGTTTACAGAAATGACAGGCAACATTTTTTGTCTGCAAATCTCTTCATTTTGGGCCTCAGTTCTCATTCATAAAAGGAGAGTTAGACTAATTTGTTATTGGTTCCTTCAGGCAATGACAATCTATGATGTCACCAGTTGCCTTTTTCTTCTTTTTTCCTTTTCTAAAAAATTATTTTAATTGGAGAATGATTACTTTACAATATTGTGATGGTTTTTGCCATACATCAACATGAATCAGCCCCAGGTATACACGTTTCCCTCCCATCCTGAACCGCATCCCTCTGGGTTGTCGCAGAGCACCGGCTTTGGGTGCCTTGCCTCTTGCATCCGAGCTTGCACTGGTCACCTATTTTACATATGGTAATATCCCACCCTCGCCTTCTCCCGGTGAGTCCAAAAGTCTCCTTTGCTGCCTTGCATGTAGGATCGTTGGTACTATCCTTCTAAATTCCATATATGTACATTAATATACAGTATTTGTCTTTCTCTTTCTGACTTACTTTACTCTGTATAATAGGCTCCAGCTTCATCCACCTCTTTAGAACTGATTCAAATGTGCTTCTATTTTACTAGTAATTTCAATAATGTCCCATAAAATACAGTTGTGAGAAATTTTTTTGTTTTACAATTTTAAATATATTAATGTTAATAAGCTATTATAAGTTAGAATGTGTATATAGAGATACAATACATACACTAGAATCCTGCTCTAGGATAATAAGTTATCAACCAGGGCCGTTTCTTTTGACTTCAAGTCTGTATGCCATGCTCAATATAGTGACTCAATTTTTCTACCACTTTCCTCTATTGAAACTAGTGGGAAATAATTGTTTGTGTAAAATAGCCTGATTTTACCTCGCTTGCTCTTCACACAATCATAAACAGAAATGCAAATGAGAATACTGAAATCACATGACCCTACTCAGATATAATACAGTCATTCTGATTATTCAAAAGATATTTGCTCACAGGATGGGGAATACATGTAAATCCATGGCTGATTCATGTCAATGTATGGCAAAAACCACTGCAATATTGAAAAGTAATTAGCCTCCAACTAATAAAAATAAATGGAAAAAAAAAGATATTTGTTCAAAATTATAAAGCAATTTCCCACCAATTGAAATAATAGTGGACCAAAAATTAAGTATATATTTAATAAATAAATTATCTACATGGCTAAAAAAATAAAAAATAAGAGTTTTATAACATTGCTTATATATATATATATATTTGTTTTAATTGTTTTGGATAACAGAAAGAAGCACAAAATCTTTTAAAATATTATCTTTGAACTTCCAGAACTCCTAAGGAGATAAATATGCACATTAACATAGGAACATTAGATACTAGCAAGTATACTGTAAAAAAAAAAACCAACAAAAACCCTAAAAAAAACATATAAACAACCAAAAACTCCTTTCTATCATTGAGTATGTTTGGGGAACTCATTACTGTATTAAAGGTTCTGAAAAATTCTCATTAATTTTGTTTCATTCAATTCAAATTAGAATGCATTTTGGTAAATGCCACTCTAAACCACCATATACAGGGTACTAGAATCAATAGCGATAGAGAAAATCTCATAATTTCAAAGACTGATCATCTCAAAATATTGACTGATAAATCATTTTTAACTGACTTTTACATTTTTTTTCAAGGCTGAGTCTTCAAAGGCCTATAGAAATCAACTATCTGTTTATACCATGTTAAAGTAAAAAAGTGAAATGAAAGTGTTAGTCACTTGGTTTGTGTCCAGCTCTTTGAGACCCCATGGACTGAGGCCCACCAGGCTCCTCTGTGCATTCGATTTCCAAGGCAAGAATACTGGAGTGTATTGCCATTTCCTTCTCCAGGGGATCTTTCTGACTCAAGGATTGAACCCAGGTCTCCTGCATTGCAGGCAGATTCTTCACCATTTGAGCCACCAGGGAAGCCCTATACCATATTAAGCACCTGGTACCATTTTAAGCACCTAGTAATAATATCTGGATTTCACATTTATCTTAGAGAGAAAAATTGTATTTTTCATTGTGAATGTGGCCGTAATGCCTAGTGAAGAGTCTTACCTGTGGTGAACATTCACTAAATGTTTGATAGTTGACTGTTGATGCAATTCCTCTAAGCCCCAGTTGTAATTCACAGGTGTAATTTTTTTTGAGAATAACCAAGACCACAGGGACTAAAGTATATGAGCACAAATGATAAAGCCACGGTACTGGCAGGAAACTCTAGCCCTGTTCTTACTGAATATATATGTATAGAATTCATGGTATATGCATGAATAAAATATACAAGACATTTTTATTTATGAGTACAATAAACAGGATTGGAAAGAACATGGGATGTATTTTTAGTCTGTGTTTTCCCTTCTTAAGAGACTGGACGGTTTGATGCTTCATGTTTTTAAAGAGATGTTTTCATTTCCTTTGAGATTTTTATGAGTTCTTTTCATTTGGGAAAAACTGCTGCCTCCTGTGACACATAGGTCTGTAGAAGCTGCTTGTGGATTTTGGCCCTAGGGATGTAGGCGTTATTGTGTATTTCTACGATAATTTTTCAGGGATATGTAACTTGCTTATAAAAATATGCCTGTGGGTTGAACCTTGGCAGTTAGCATTTTAGTAAGAGAATATATTTAGTAATATCTGAATGTCTAAACAAGTAACACATAGGTAAGCTATTTTAAAAAACTGGGTGATGAAAAAACAGTGGTTGTTATTGCCACCTTTTGAATGTGTTTCGTTATAGCTAAATATCAACTTTCAAATTTATTTTTTAAAAAACATTTGAGAAGCAAGGATTTGAGTTAGCCCTACATTGGCTCACTTCATCATGAAAAACAAATAAGTCAAGCCCTTCATTTGGAAAATTGGTGACACTTAGCTAGACCCTAAGTCAATATTAATTCATATTGACTTAGGTTCTCAGGTTCAAACTTTGAAGGACAGCAATGACTTGGGGTTCTCATTATAACTTCTCTTATTCTTCTTTAGTTCAGTTAGCTTAATAATTATATATAGAGAGTATTTAGCATCCCTAGCTTTGTCCTGAAAGTCTACAGTGGCAGGACCTACAAATCGGAGGGCATTAGCTTTGTTTAACAGGTGACTAACTTAAAGAGAAAATGAAACAAATACAAGTAAACCGTATTGTAATGTAAGTCCTTTGTTCAGAGGTATTGCCGTTAATAGTTTATGGAAAGGGAGACAAATGAACTAATTAACCAACAAATTGAAAAAGCCAAATGAATAAATACTAAGCATATTTGGAAGATGGGTTAGTGTGGTGAAAGCTTTATGCTTTGAATCTGAACCCTACCACTGCTACCTAATGTCTTTTAGCCTTAATGCTTTCTTTTGTAAAATCAGGATAATTAGAGCTAATTTGCAGGGTTATATGTATATATATATAATTATATAATTTTCATGACCAAGTCTCTATTGGAGTTTCATGGCTAGTAAGTACTATGAGTAGTACTCAATAAGCGAAGGGTTAGGTAGTACAGGGCAGCCAAGAAACACCTTATCCTTTAATGGTAAAATCCACATATGCAGTAGACTGTAGACAAGGGAAGGAAGGCTTGGCTTCAGGAAGAGAAGCCTTTCTTGGCTCTCACTTAAGACCTAGATGCTAAAGTTACATGGTGTAACCAAACCAAATTTGGGTCTCATGGCCTGCCACACAGCGAAACCAGTTTAATGATACTGAGTTGTGGTGAAGGTACAGTGTTTATTTGCAGGGCACCAAGCAAGAGGAATGGGCAGCTTCTGCTCAAAAGACCTGAACTCCCTGGTGGCTTTCAAGGAAGGGTTTTTAAAACAATGTTTGGGGTAAAGGCTGAAGTTTAGGGACTTTCTTCTGATTGGTTGGTGGTGAGGTAACATTGTGATGTTTCTAGAATCTTAGTCATTAACTTGCTGGTTCTGACCAGTCTGGGGTTTGTGTGCTTGTGGTCAGCATGTAGTCACCATCCTCTACCTGGGTGAGAGTCATAGTTTCTTCTGAAGAACAACTCGGAGATACACACCAGATTACTATGCACATCCCATGGAAAGGAAGTAGGACCCTGTTTTAATGCTGAACTATTGTTTAAACTATCTTACTTGAACTGCTTTTCCTTCGTTTCTGCATTCCCTCACTTCTCTAATTAATAACTTGAGTCTACTCTTTGAAACTCAGGAAAGGCCTAGTAGACTAAAGCCTTTTTCTACAAACAAGAAGCAGGGAACCCAGAGGTGTTTTTGTATCCAATAAGGCCGCATAAGGTCTTGCCTTGTTTCAATCCCCCTTTTCTTTGATACTCCTCAGTCTTAAGGGGAACAGTGGCAGGACAAGAAATGGAATAAAATTCAGGGCAGAAGTTAAGCAAACGTCCCCCTAAGTTTTAGGGGGACTTAGCTTCAGTGGGAGGATTGTAAATTAAAAATCTCTGCGTTTTCATGGTCAATAGTATTTATAGTCATTATTTTTAACACTGCATTTCAGTTGTATGTGGTTACTATGACTATTATTTTCTTTTGTCCAGAACTTGAGAAAGAGCTGACAGGAGACCTGTTGCAAAACTAAAGAAGGAAAAGAATCAGACTACGGAAAAACTCATCTGTTATTGGCCATATTTTCATGTTTTGGAAAATATACTGGTTTATCATTCAATCACACATTAAGTTGAGCACTAGGCTTGGTGCTTTTGCAGACATGATCTCATTTTATCCTGACAACAATGTTGGGAAGGGTGCATGATTATCCTCATTTTAACTGTAATAAAATAGGCTCAGAGAGACCAGTGGAGCCAGGATTAGAATGTGGGTGTTGTTTGCCTTTAGCCACAGTATTGCACATCACATACTTGTCCATATCCATATCAGATACTGCAATGATTCTTTTATTCCATTATTAAATATCCAATGGATAACTGAGGGAAGGACACAGAAGGTGGGGGAGTCAAAGTGTGGAGGGCCATCAAGAGCTATTGGGGTGGAGCTGGGAGGAGAGCAGGTAAACTGGGGCTGAATGGGACTGGATGGAGAGGAGACCATCAGACATATTCCAAGATGATGGTCCAAGGTGCTATGAATTCACCAATCTTGAGGTTCTCAGTGAGACCCCAGAAACATATTTCCTACTTCCTAATTTGCCTACAACATTTCAAAACTTGGTGGGGGAGTGCATAATTGGATATTGCACTGATTTCTATAATATTCTTTGATATTTGTTTTTGAAATAAGCAGAAACTCCATCTTCTCTAGCAAACATTTCGGGACTGCTGCCAAGGATGTGAGTACTCCCAGCAACTCCACTCAGTATGTGCAATCAGTTGCTCAGCCGTGTCCGACTCTTTCTGACCCTATGAACTGTAGCCTGCCAGGCTCCTCTGTCCTTGGGATTCTCCAGGCAAGAATACAGGAATAGGTAGCCATTTCCTACTCCAGGGGATCTTCCCAACCCGGGGATCAAATCGTAGACAGTAGTTAACTCCTATGACTCCTTCCCACTTCTCACGCTTCTTCTTCAGGCCCTGCTGCCTATTCTGTTAATTCATAGTACATTTTACCCCTTTATTCAACATTAACAATGACATTGTCTATACCTCTTTTACAGTCCACATCATTTTTTCTGGTTACCTGTCTGCCTCATCTTGGAAAACAGAATTTCCTCACTATCTACTGGAAGACTTGGGAAAGAGCTTGAATTTGCAAACCTGTGAGAATTTCCATTTCAAGGAGGGAGGCGGTGCTCCCAGGAGAGAAACTGGCCTGTCACTGAAGCTTTGGGATAGTTTCTGGACTCCTTCTTTTGCTCTCTGAGTTTCCAGGTTCACTCTGGTGTGGTGGAGGTGAAGTTTTCTATGACAATGAATTTCAGCCCAGCAGAGCCCCTCTTTCCAAAGGGTAACACTGCTGCTGAAAGTCTAAGTCCCTGTCACTGGCCAACGAGAGCATTTAGACACCTGGTGAAAAAGGTTGTAAGCAGACTGTAGAATTATTTAAGCATAATTTTAAAACTTATTTTACTTTATTAAAGAAGGAATCTGGGGCTTCCCAGGTGGCTCAGTGGTAAAGAATCTGCTTGCTAATGCCGGAAATGCAGGTTCAATCTCTGAGTCAGGGAGATTCCCTGGAGAAAGACATGGCAACCCACTCTAGTATTCTTGCCTGGAGAATCCCCTGGACAGAGATGCCTGATGAGCTATACAGTCCATGAAGTAGCAAAGAGTCAGGCACAACTTAGTGACTAAACACCAACAAAAGAAATGCGTGTTTAATGAACAAAGTTCGGAAAATTTTGATATGATTAATTGATAACAAAGGCAGAGCCATCTCTTAGCTGGTTTGGAGACACCCTCCACATACTCTGCTCCAGTTAGAGGACAGATGTGACAAGTGGAAGCTCTTTTTCTCAGAACTCCTTTTTACAGAGGAGTGGCTGATCTAGAATTTTACAGAGAGGCCTGAGGGCCATGTACTATTATTATAAGGAGAGGATTAAAGCTGTGAATTTGCACAGCACTTGACAGGAGATGTAGAATACATTAATTATTCATTTTAAAGAATGGCTCATGGAGATGTATTGGGATATCAAGTTCTACCAAGTCATATTCCTAGTGTCAAAATAGCGGCAGAGGACTATTCAAGAGATTATTCAGTTATATATTCAGTTAACAAGCATTTATTGGACACCTTCTATATTCAATGCCATTATGTAGGTTCTAAATGAAAAGAGAGATGAAAAAAATGAACAAACTTTGGTCCCTGCCTTTGTAGGATTTTTAAATAACAAAAAAGATTTTGTTTGACATTTAGGTCATTTTCTACTAAAAATAATGCTGTGATGAAATCCCTGTGGTTAAATTCTTTTGCACATCTATAAATATTTCCTTGGAATGCATTTTTAGAAAGGGATTTGTAAGGTGTCATTTTGATGATTTTAGAACTTATGATAAAATAACCAGACAAACCCATGAGACTTAGAATATAATGGATTGTTATTTTAATATCTAAAAGAGTTGGGTGGCTCCAAAATTTTAAAACTATATAAAGAGAATACAAGTATTTGACTCAAAAGAACTTTAAATATATTGAAAGTCAAAGAAATACAAAATCAAATGAGGCAGTTTCAAGAGTGAGTGTCACAAACCTAAAGTGACTTGAAAATTAGGGATAAAATGATCCAAGTTGAAGGTCCTTGGCTAAGTGACCACCTTTTGTTTTAAATGATGAACTCTCTGTTAGACCTATAAATAGGGCTCAGTATGCCAGATGCCCCTCTGGTGTTGCAAACAAGGATCCAGTGTTGCCTCAGCCTGTACCATCTGGTCCTTATGAAGCTCTGGCAAGCTGAAAAGACAATGTAAAAATTTCATGGGGAGGTAACCGTCCAAACTGTGAAAGATGATATAATTACTTTCTTGGTGGTTAAGCATCTTTCAATTCCAAGAAGATTTAGAGTTTTTCATGGTTTGAACATATTTTGTGTTAGGAAATCTGTGTGTACTTAGTATTTTTGGTACATTCAAAGTTTGGGATTTGTCTATCAGAGTTAGCAGATCAGTTTTTTGGTTACCACTTTAAACCCCCAGTACATAATGGATTTAGACTTGTGATTTAAGTTGAAATATTATTGAGGTGATACACATGTTAGAATAGTTAAGAGGTCCCAAAATTCATTGTACTTAAGAGCTTATTTTTATTAGATTTATGATTTCTTTGGTATCAGGAAGACTTTGTTTGTTAAATCAGAAAATTATTATTTTTTTTAAAAACCCTGTATTTTAAACTTGTAAATAGAATTTAAGATGCTCAAAGGAGTTCCTTTGATCAGACACTAAGTGATGGCCCTCAAATGTGACTGAAAATATTTACTAGACATAGAATATTATTTTTAAACTTAATTTAACACCTTCATTTTAAAAACTACTCTATAAATGTGTAATTTTAGTTTAAAAATTCTGAATAATTCTTTTCTTTATACACACAAAACCCTCCCTGTAAGATAATTTTTTTTTAATGTGAGTTTTAACACAAGATTAATACAATTGCATGAGTATAGACCTTTGATAACTATTGGGTTGTCTGAGTCTCAAATTTCAAACTTTATATTCCTGATTGAATTATTTCTGTAATATACTTATGATTGGCATATTAGAGTTTTAAGTAAAAAGAAAATAAATTATTAAAAGATTCAAGTGAGGATATAAATACATGTTTTGAATTCAGAGATTTGATTGGAAAGTTTTCATGCTATTAGAAAGAATAGAAAGAATTGAGATAATTTTATGAAAAAATCCCTCAAAACCAATTAAAAATTTGTGAAATAGGCCCCCCCCACCAGAAAAAGGTTTAACCACCTGAAATATTTAAACTAGAGAAAAACAAGGTAAAGTGTCTCAACAAAGTTAATTGACTAAATTTGGCTTATAAATACTGATTGGAGTACTTAAACTCCCCTTTCTCACATTCCCCTGCTCCACATTAAAGCAAATAGAACTAATTTTTTATTCTTCACCTAGCCTATTAAGTACAGAATTTGAGGATCTCTGAATATAAAAAGAGATATTCTATGAATTATATACTAAACAGATATTTTCTTCCCATTAGAGATAGTGGAAAGAAAGAATAAGCTTAAACTGCAGCAAGATTATAGGTGGACACTGTGAAAAAGTTTTAGGTCTCAAATGAAAGTGAAAGTGTTAGTCTGATTATTTGAGACCCCAAGGACTGTAGCCCATGAGGTTCCTCTGTCCATGGATTCTCCAGGCAAGAATACTGGGGTGGGTTGCCATTTCCATCTCCAGGGGATATGCTCAACCCAGGGATCGAACCAGGGTCTCCTGCATTGCAGGCAGATTCTTTACCATCTGACCACAAGGGAAACCTTAGGTCTCAGATGGTGTTAGGCAAATAATGTCTTTTTTTGGGGGGGTGGGGAGGTGCAGGGGAAGGGAACTAAAATACATAGAGACCTTTCTTTCTTGGTTAGTAGAGACAGTCATAAAAAGATGCTGAGAAAACAGAGTAAAGGCAAAAGGAAAGGAAAGGAGAATCTGTAGCCCTTGGGCATAGTCAAGTCCTATGCAAAATCTGAGAGGACAAATTTGGCCATTTAGTTCTTTCTATTTCCCCCCTCACATTCAGGTCCCAGGAAACTAGCTCCTAAAGACCCTTACTTTCATAATCCCTGTTCTGACCACATGGTCTTAATCTAACCAACTTTGTCCCTGTCCCACAGGACTTGTTTTTGATTAGATAAAAGCCCTGCTTATTAAGGTGTTAATGGGTACCCCTTGGCTAAAGTCATCTTTGTCCAAACAGCACATTTACTTTGTATCAGGTTCTCCTGAGGATTTGTAACTTTCTCAAAGCAATGACTTTAACAAGAGAATCCTTGGAACTTTGTTAGATCTGCGTGGGTAAAGCAGATTTGAGAAGATCTGAATACTCCATGCATACTCATTCATTCAACAAATAATTATGAAGCACTTCCTGTATTCTATATAGGTTAGATAGATAGTGATAGAGCAAGAAGGAAGGGTGGAAAGTGCCAGTAACACTGGGGTGTCAGGTAGGGGCAGATTTCCATTTGAAATGTTTATCTATCTATTTGGTTGTGTTGGGTCTTATCTGTGGCACGCGGGATCTGTGGTTGCAGCACACAGACTCTCCACTTG